ACAGTATTGGACAGTAATGTTATATTTTAGCGTCCTGTTGCACTGATTTAAGTCAATGATTTATTTAATCCGTCTTGCAGTGCATACATTCATTTATCTCCTTCTTTCCCTCGCACTACATGTTTCGGCATAATAATGCCATTATTATGCCGAAACATGTAGTGCGAGGGAAAGAAGGAGATAAATGAATGTATGCACTGCAAGACGGATTAAATAAATCATTGGACAGTAACCTGAAATCAGTTTTTAATAGTGTGGCAAAGTGGTTTAAGGCAGATTTACTCTCGTTAAATGTGGATAAAACTTATTGTATGAAATTCAGCCTTAAACATGCAAACAACTTTGAAACTCAAGTCACATACAACAATAAAATTATTCCCTATACTACGGAATTAAAGTTTTTGGTGTTGGTATTACATAATAATATGTCATGGAAGTCTCATATTGAAAATTTGGCTGTTAAACTCACTAAAGCTTGTTATGGTGCAAGAGTAATTAGACCTTTTGTATCATTGAACTCCCTTAAGATGATTTATCATGCGTATTTTCATTCAGTTATGTCATACGGATTGATTTTTTGGGGAACCTCTTCACATAGCTCAATTATTTTTAAACTTCAAAAGCGAATGGTTAGAATACTAATGAAGGCAAGACCTAGGGATCTGCAGAAAATTCTTTAAAATATTAAATATATTACCTCTGGCCTCACAGTACATATTCTCCTTGGCTCTGTTTGTGATTGCAAATAAAACTTGGGTCAGAATAAGAGACGATGGACATACTCCAAAAAAAGCAGTAATTTTGAACTTTCTGAACGATTCTGAAAACATTATAAACGGTTACAATCGCAGTGCTACAGCCAGTTTTATGGCTCACCCCTAATGCCCCTAATACTCAGTTCCCGCCAAGTTTCAAGCGTCTCAAGTCTGCTCTCTGTCGGTAAAGTTTCAAATTTCGCCGTTGTGAGCGTTGTGAGATTTAAGAGCGATAAAGAGCAAAGAACGTAGCCATATTGTGTATATGTACACGTAGTGTTTGAGTATTAAAACTTCATTTTAAGCAATTCGCTTGTGCCTTTTGTTCCATCGCTTAAAGCCGAAAGCCTAATCATGCCTCGTATAATGATAAAAGGTGGTGTGTGGAGGAACACAGAGGTAAGGAATGATAGGTACTTCGAGTTGCTTTTCAGGTTATGTACATTTTGGCGGTGGCTAATTTTGATATATTAATGTATATTTTCTGATATGAAATTTCATTATATAAATCAGGATGAGATCTTGAAGGCAGCAGTGATGAAATATGGCAAAAACCAATGGTCCCGTATTGCATCACTACTACATAGGAAGTCAGCAAAGCAATGCAAAGCTCGTTGGTATGAATGGCTGGATCCAAGTATAAAGAAAACAGAGTGGAGCCGTGAAGAAGATGAGAAACTATTGCATCTAGCAAAATTGATGCCAACTCAATGGCGAACCATTGCACCTATCATTGGACGAACAGCAGCACAGTGTTTGGAACGTTACGAGTACCTGCTGTATGTATGTCTTTTTAAGATATAGAATTGATACTTAGTATGTGGCATTTTATTTGTAGAAAGTAGGTCTGACTTGTAAAATGTAGTCTCTGTCTCCTTATTTGTATATCACAATACTAATGAGCAAATTAGGTCTTCTATGTAGGTCTTATAGATAAAAGAAAGGTAAAGCTATCCATGTAACAGGCCACGAAGCCCATAGGGTTGTGAGACGTTGTGATTCCAACATTTTCTAGACAGTCGGCTCACAGATAGCAGTGAGGTTGTTAGTCTTACAGGCTGGCCACCCTTTAACTCCAAGATTTCTGGTACTCATTTCTGTTAGAGGCTGAGTTGACCTTGGGGCCGTAGTGCAGCTGGAAGGATTCAGTCAATTGAAAAATTCAATGACCTCATCGGGAGACAAACCCACAACCTTCCAGCTTGTAGCATAATGTCTCAACCAACTACGCTACCACATGCCCCCAGCCTACAGTCATTCGTTTATAATTTTCATTATTTAGCACACTGGAAATTTAAGCTATGTGTGAATGAGACTTAGACTTCAAGAAAGCCTATGATTTGGTTAGGAGGGAAGTACTGTACAGTATTCTGATAGAATTTGGGATACCCATGAAACTAGTTAGGTTGATTAAAATGCATTTAAATGAAACGTATAGTAAAGTCCGTGTAGGTAAACATTTGCCTGATAAATTTCCTATCCATAATGGTCTAAAACAAGGATATGCTTTATTGCCACCCCTTTTCAACTTTGCTTTAGAATATGCCATTAGGAAGTTCCAGGGAAACCAGGTGGGACTGAAATTAAACGGATCACATCAGCTGTTGGCCTATGCCAATGATGTGAATCTACTGGGTGATAATGTAGATACCATAAAGAGAAACACACAAACTTTAATTGACGCAAGTAAAGAGGTTGGTCTAGAAGTAAACACTGAGAAAACTAAGTATATGTTGCTGTCTCATCACCAAAATGCAGGGCAAAATCATGTTCCATGAGTAAGTAAGTAAGTAAGTAAATGAGACTAGCTCTTTCTAATGGGCCCAATTCAGTTAGAACATATTCTCCCTTACACATATAGATGGAAACAGATTCAGGTTCCAAAAACACTGTTTGGAAAAACTCAGTAAGGTTGTCAGCCTTGCTCACCAGCTGCCTTTTACACCCCAGGAAGAATCCTGGTACTCATTTGTGTTAGAGGCCTAGTCGACCCCAAGGCTATACTGTGGCTGGAAGGATTAGGTAAAATGAAAAAAAGTCCACCTGATCATGACTCGAACCCATGACCTCCCAGCTTGTAGCATAGTGCCTCAACCAACTACACTACCACATGCCCAAACAGTCCCAGCGAAGACAACAAAAATTATCTGCTGTATAATTTAAATTTATGGACTCCTGTAACTATAACTTAGTCTTTAGTATTATTATTATTTTACAGAGATCAGGCACAGAAGAAGGAGGATGGAGAGGATGCTGCAGATGACCCACGTAAGTTGAAGCCTGGGGAAATTGACCCCAATCCAGAGACAAAACCTGCACGTCCAGATCCAAAGGACATGGATGAAGATGGTAAAGATAGTGATAGATCAGAAATTTGGTTTGTTTCTAGTGTGGTTCAATAATAGAGAAAATTCAAGGATTTTGTATATACACACATTTGCTTTTGTGCAAAAGAGTTGTTTAATATCAGCTGTAAATGATGACTTCTTTCGTTGCAGAGTTGGAGATGTTATCTGAAGCACGTGCACGACTTGCAAATACTCAGGGAAAGAAAGCAAAACGTAAAGCTAGGGAGAAGCAATTAGAAGAAGCACGTAGATTGGCAGCTTTACAGAAACGGAGAGAATTGCGAGCAGCTGGAATTGAATTGGCCCCTAGGAAGAAAAAGAAGCGGGGGCTAGACTATAATGCAGAAATCCCATTTGAAAAGCTCCCTCAACCAGGATTTCATGATACTAGCAATGAGTTATTTGATCCGGCGGCTCCTGATTTTAGCCGACTCAGGCAGCAGCATCTTGATGGAGAGCTGCGAACAGAGAAGGAAGAGGTTGGTTTCTGAACACTTTACAGTTTGTGACATCTGTAGAAATTTTTTGATCAAATTATTGCATTGTTCAACTGTTAGTTTCTTTAACCGTCCTCCCTTGAGGCTTCTTGCCCACAAGTTGGTTGCCACCTTTCTTACCGTCCGTCTTGTTCGCCTTATGTTCAGCGTCACTTTGACTGCCCTACCTGGTGCTGCCTCTGTTGAAGTTGTTGGGGCGTGGCTGGTTCTGGCTTGACCAGGCTCCACCTCTTCCTCCTTCCATTGCTGATTACGGGGGATGGAATTTCAGGATAGGACTTGATGTTATGGGCGCCAGCAAACAGCTAGGTGCGGTTTGCAATTCATTATAAAGGAGGGAAGGCGTGAGTGGGTGGAAGCTGGCGATGAGTTTGACTAGCTCCTGGTGATGAGTCTCTCCTCAGGTCGGCTACGGGTCAGGCTCGGACAAGTGAGGGTGAAGCACTTCTGACCAACACAATGCACTGTACCACTAGAACACTTTATTGTTTTCTTACAGTCACTCAGTGGTATAAATCCACACAATCAGGCCTAGTTTCAGCTTCCAAACAGCCGGTGTTGCACTTGCTCAAATTGCCCGATCAGGTCGACTTACCACCGTCCGCTTATGGATTAAGCTAGATCTCTTTTAAGTTATGGCCAAACTTTGCACTTCTAAGAATTATTTTACTTAACAAGCAAGTATAATCGCGGGGTTTGCCTCCAACAAGTTCAAAAGTTTGTAGCAGACTAAAATCTTAAACTGGACTCTCTGCCGAGCCAGAGGTCCTAACTGCGTTGTATCCGCCTCTTCTTCTCTCCTGCTAATTTCCCTGATAGGCTGTTTCAAATAAGGGGAGTTGGCTTAATTTTGGTTCCGGCCAATGACCGATTGTTTTAGAGGGAGTTTCGGCCTGAGATACCAAACGGCAAAATTGACAGCGATGCAACTTATGAGGGGTCGCTGATGATCTCCTGGCACTCCCACTTTTGACTTACGGCTGGTAGGGACTGTCACTTCTTGAATTCTCAAAGTGGCTTGCCGCTGTAAGTCAACTTCTCAATTTCTAAAGAAACTCAGTGGGGTTCCTTGAAGTTTCATTTCTGCCCTTTTCGAAAACAACACCAGATGCTTGGACGCAAGGACTAGCAGATGTCCTTGTCCGCGCAAGTTAGGTCTATCTGCTCATCGCCTACTGCTTGTTCTGACTGTGTGTCTTAAACCTATGTTTCTTCGTAATTCTTATTGTGTACTTGATAAGCTACTGAAATAAAAAGAGGGGGGAGGGATTTCAATGGTGCGGTTACATTTCTTTGTCTTTCTGTGCAGATATTTTTGTTACCATTTTGTTCCAGCTCATGTTTTAAATTTCTTTTACCGTCATATTTGTGACTGTGATGAAAATCTCTCTTCCTGCCTTTTTCTATTGTTCTGGTGTCCTGAATAAAGCGTAATTGAAATCAGAGTAGTAATTTTATATTCGCATTGCATTTCCCTTCTGTTGCAAGTTGTAACTAAGCAGTCTAAATACAAACTTATAATTCAGAGACAGTGTTTTATTATTTCTTATTCACTACATGTTTCGACCATCTTGTGGTCATCAGGTGTCTTGCTTTAATATGTACGTGTTTTACCTGATGATACCCACAATGTGTGTAAACATGTAGTGAATAAGAAATGATTAAACACTGTAGTTTAACAGTAAGTCTTTGTTAACAGAATATGAAAGGAAAGCTAATCTCTTTTGTCTCTCCTCGGAGCTACTCTCAAACCATTCAATTGCTTGCTTCTTATATTTTTTGTCAAACAATTGCACTTTGATACAGATGCAAAAGATTACTTTTGCTTCAGGGAATTAAAATGTGTATTGTCAGTTAGAGGTTAATGGAATGTGTTTTCATCAGTGTCAGGATGAAACATCGCTCTAGTTACATAATTTGGTATATATCTGGATTTCCCTTAATGTAATGTAATGTAATGTAATATATATAAGGGGTGGGTCATATAAACTGGCCCCCACACTATGACTTTCAGTGCTCTATTGTGCTTCCCCTCGGATTTGCCCTTTATTAATCCTATACTTTTAATAAAGTGTAGGACCCTGCTTATGGAGGCATCATAAAAGTCACTTTAATCCATAAAAAACTGACCCAAGTGACAAAATCTTAAATAAGATATGGCCTCACAATCACACGGGATGTGTGGCTGATTCGTTTTCTTGTAGGCACCTTTCACAAGTTGGGTTATCTGTCAGTCCCAGCTTGGAAAGGTGCCCTTTTAGGTGACAGTGTCTGGTAAGTAATCCTACCACCCATCTTAGTTGATCTCTGTTTAATTTTAACAGGCCCCTCATTCTTTTGGCAGAGGGTCCTGATATAAAACCCTTTGCCTGTTTGAGTCTAATTATGGATACCTAGTATTTTTTATGATTTCTGTCAGTCCAGTCCCTGATCACTTTTTTTGGCAACTCCAATTGAGATGCAGCAAGCTGGCTCAGGTCCTGTGAATGGCTGTTCAGATCCTGTTCTTGCCAGTTGATCTGCCATTTCATTCCTGGCAATACCCTCATGACCTGGCACCCATATCAGTTGTATTCTATTATGTCTGGCCAGATGTATGAGTAATTGGTGGCAGTCCCAAACCAATTTTGAAGTGATTTGGTATGTACCAAATGCTTTAATTGCACCTTGATTGTCTGATAGGATATAGATGTTCCTATATCTATAGTTCCTATCTAAATTCTCAACTGTGCATGCCTTAATGGCATACACCTCTGCCTGGAATACTGTTATGTACTGACCAAGTCTGGAGGTATGCTTCTGCCTCGTTACATCACAATACACCTCAGCTCCAGTGCCTTTATTTGTCTTGAAGCCATCTATATACCAGATTAGTCCCTCCTTTCTCTTGGGTTGAAACCTCTCTTCTCATTCACTTCTATCAGGTAATCTGATCAAGAAGGGTCTATCATAAACATGGTTTGGTAGCATTTTATCAGATCCCATCTGTAGGATGGTTTCTTTTTTCATGTCCCAAGTCATGTATGCATGTCCAAAACCTTCGGATTTAGGTCTCCATTGATCATTGCAACGTAATATGTAATTCCCTAACTTGGCCTCTGCGTCCATCTGTAAATGCAGTGGAAGGAGTCCTAGTAGGATTTCCATTGGAGCTGTTCTCATTGCTCCCGTAATTCCCAAGCAAGCTGTCCTTTGCAGTTTGCTAAGTTTGCGTAAAGATTTCCCTTGTATAATTTGTCATAATGTACATGTTCTATATTTGTTTTAGCGTGAGCGCCGTAAGGACAAGCAGAAATTGAAACAGCGAAAGGAGAATGACATACCTATGGCTATGCTGCAGAATCAAGAGCCAGCCAAGAAGCGCAGCAAGTTGGTTTTACCAGAACCTCAGATATCAGATCAGGTATAGTTGTACAGTCTGTATATATTGATTTCTGAGATTGGAGGTTCTCATTATAGTGACTGTGATGAGTGGCCTTTTACCCTGAAGATGGAGGCAGCACATTTATTTTGAAATGTTTATAAACACATAGCAGCCTATATTCATTTGTCTTACTTTTCTTCTTTGTGAGTGTTATATGTATCCATACTTGAGACATGCCCCAAAGTCAGAGGTTTGAGAACAAAGCAAAACTATAATTGCAGGAAAATAATTTTGTTGGACTAGTGTTAATAAATGTGGATTCATCTCAGTAATATATAATTGCACAGTTGTATAGTTGTTGGTTCATTTTGCAATATTTGTTATCAGTTAAAATTTGAAATGCATCTTTGTAGGACTTCTACAGAATATATATATATATATGTGTGTAAGGGGTGGGCCATAAAATCTGGCCCTTGCACTGCAACCTTCAATGATCTTTGTGCTTCCCCTTTGGATTAACCCTTTATTAATCCTACACTTCAATGGAAATGTAGGACTTTATTTATGGGGCCGTCATAAAAGTCACTTGGTTCCATGAAGAATCGACCCAGGTGATGAAATCTTAAATAAACTATGGCCTTACAGTCACGTAGAATACATAGAATACATGTGGGATGCTTCCACATAGGCCACTGTATGTGTTAAAAGTCTGAATGTGCCTAAACATTAACATTTTACCTTAATTGTTTGTCTCCTTCTATGAGTCTGCCACCTGTGGAACTTTTGTCACTGTTACTCAGTGGTTTTAATATAATTGCACACAGTAAGGTACTTAAGTGTGGCTGCATGGCATTCTGGCTATGTCATTTTGAAGAATGATTCTAAGAACCAGAATAGCATTATTTTTTATCCTGTCATACTTCGTTATCTGGCCTAAAAGAACTTCACTGTACACTGCTACTGATGATATTGTCACGTGTAGGGGTTGTGTGCTTAACTTATAGATAGGTCCTGGATTGGATGACTGGATTTATTGACATCTTATTCACACAACTCAGGACTACAGACAGTACATCATTATCACTATTTTCATGCACTAGGGTTCTCAGTCTTTACTAGTCATATTCAGGCAATGGATTTATATTAGTCCCACTGTAACTTTAAATCACACATGAAGTCTCATTTTACGGCATAATTCCTTTCTTACCATTACTCTGCAACTGCCAATTCTGAAAACTTGACTCAGTTCAATTCCTCTGCTCCCAGGCTCATGTCCTGGCTTCTCAAAACTTGACCAACTCCACTACTACCTCTCAAATGAACTCGTCTTTGTAACCATTTTGCATGAACACGGAAAACACAGCCTCTCTGCTGTTGAGAAGGCATGTTTACAGTTCCATTGCATAGCAACACAGATTACTCGATTGTTGCTTGTGTATTCATTGCCACAGGAAATGTGTTTACCAAGTTGTGCCTAGAAATGAATGTCTATTCTGACTTCACTATTTCAGCTGTTGGGCATCGTGTCACAATATGAAGAGATTTACCAAATAAGCATTTTCTTGTTACAAATTTTTAGGTTCCCACTGATTTCCTGACACTGTCCTCTGATCTCAATGAAATTGTTCTTATTCATAAATAATACCACACCAAGAAGGTGTTTGTGGGAAGAAAAAGTGTAGTAGCTCAGTGCACCTCAGCACTAAGTGGAAGTGAGTGGAGCTTCATGTTCTGACCAGTTTATCCCCATTGGACAGGATTGTGGGTGACTCCAGAGTCAGTCTGGATGCTGGAGCAGAGAAAGATCTCTTTCACTTGCAAGGAGTTGGCTCTGATTGCTCAGCTGCCCAGCCCACAGCCTGGTCACTATACTTCAGGGTGGTTTCCTGAGTAGTAAAAGTATGGGAATGTTGTGAAGTATCACATTTTTATATTTCTTCTTCTGCTTCAGGTTGTGGAACATTGTTATTGAAAAAATTAGCACAAAAATAATTTTGTCACGTGTTTATGCTATATAAAAATTGTATGGGTAGGGACTTTGATGTGATGAGATAATGTTTTCAATTGCATAAATGTGCATTCATTTTTTTAAAATGACTCGTTTAGGAGTCGACTTGATTTTGCATGATTTCCTCACAGGAGCTGCAACAGGTGGTGAAACTGGGGCGTGCCAGTGAAGCAGCACGAGAAGTCGCTACTGAGGGCGGACACCAGCCTTCAGATACGCTGCTAGCTGATTATTCTCTGACTCCTGCAGGGGGCACTCGAACACCCCGTACTCCGGCACTGACAACTGATAGGATCTTGCAGGAGGCTCAGAACATGATGGCTCTCACCCATGTAGACACACCTCTTAAAGGAGGATTGAATACACCCTTGCATAGCTCAGATTTCTCAGGGATGACTCCACAACGGGAAATTGTCACCACACCAAACACTGTGCTTGCAACTCCATTCAGAAGCCAACGTAGTGATGGTTAGTACTTCATTCCATATCCCCTTCTTCACAGAAGTCTGTATTTTTAGTGGTCCACCTTTTATAATGAACTTGTCAAAAGAGGTATGTAGTTTCTTGAATGACCTAAAGACCAGATTCTCAGGAAGGACTGTACTGTCTGGCTTTAGTTGCTCTTTTAAACACTAACAAACCAAGAACAGTATCAGCAAATACAGTTTGTATCTACTTGCAACTTGAAACATGTATTTTTAAAAATTAAATTAAATTTTTGATACTCCTAGTTTATTTTGGCATGATTGTTCTGAAAAAAATGTTGAGTGGGAATCAGAAATGGCATATTTTTGCTTTTGAATGTACTTAACAGTTTGAAAACTAGATGACATCAGATTTACCTAGAGATTAAAATTGTAAGCATTTAAATATCTCTTGCTTTGCTTGTGTGTGCACAAATGTATATTTTTCATAATTGTAAGTAAAATAGACCAATAGGTTTTGTTCACTTCATTCCCTCTAGCGCTTCATACTCCAGCTGGTGGGGGTTTCCATACACCAAACCTAGATGGCAGTAGGGGTGCTGTTGCACCTACACCCATTCGTGATAAACTAAGCATTAATCCAGAAGAGGGGTTGGATGTTGGGGATACACCCCAAGCCATGCATAATTATCAGCGCCAGGTAAATATGATACATCTCCCAAACCAGCATCACAGCACAGCTCTGCCAATGACTGAAGGAAGCAGTGGCATTTATTCAGTTCAGTAACATTGAATAAGTTTCAACTTGATTTTAACCTTCACTTTAAGCTAATAACTTCAATGCCTAATATGCAAGTACACCCANAACCCCCCCAGACGATTTAAATCCCTGACGAAACATACACGACGAACCACGGCAACGGGTTAAGCCAAGGACAGGAAGATACAGTGAAGCATACTAATTTAATTAATTTTTAATACACCAAAACTTTGATTTAATCTTCAGTTCTAATCAGTTAAGATAAGGCTTCCATGAATGATAATGAGTTGTAACAGATTATCAACTCACACACAATACAAATATATTACCTGATGATGGTCACACTAAAGCCAGAAGGAAGTAAACCACAGGGAAGACCAAAGCATAGGTGGGTGAACAATATTAAAATGGATCTCAGAAAGATAGGATGGAATGGTATGGATTGGATTGATCTGGCTCAGGATAGGGACCAGTGGAGGGCTCTTGTGAACACGGTAATGAACCTTCAGGTTCCATAAAATGCTGGGCAGTCCTTGAGTATCTGCACAATTGGCAGTTTCTCAAGAAAGGCTCAGCTCCATGAGTGATGATGGTCGCACTGTAAGTGAAACATCTGTAAAATAAAAATGAGCTAAAAGAAGGATGGAAAAATTAATGGGATTCTGAAGTATAATATTATGAATTACTAATTTTAAATAGGAGCCGACTTCCTAAAAAATTAAAATGTAAGATATAACTGGATTCATTTTAATTCATATTCCAAAAAAAAGATCAAAGTCCTGAAATTCTTTTACACACATATAATTTCAGTTTCTTTACTTAGGCCTAACAAACATATTAGACAAAGCAGTAAAATATCTGTTAAAAATTCAGTGAGAGGGTTCAGCAGTTTCCATCTCTAGCTGCAGTTTCCACAGATGGAGATTATATACATGTGACTCTTGATCTGCCTCTTCATATGTCTCCCTCCCCAGTAACTTCAGAAATGACAGATTTGTATGAAACTTAATATGAAAATCATGGAACTAGAGGCCACGAGCCCTCCCTACCATTATCCTTTTCAATTTCCTATTTGCAATACAAACATGATCTCAGAGGATATCCAGTTTCAAGTGGTGTCACCATCTCATCGGATACTGAATACACATTCTGCATTGCTGCCATACAATTTTCTGCTTCTTAAAAATTGGCTTCAGAAGGCTTTGGAAGTATTTTTTTAAGGAATATAATATTTTAGGGCAGCCATGCAGTTTTTGGTTTGGTAGTGATAACTCATGAATCATGACATTAAATTGTGTTTAGAGATAGATTGTTAACATACGAGTACTTGCAAATTCTGTATGACATGTTTTTAGAAGAAAGTAAAAATGGAAATTGTTCACCTTTAGAAGACTGTGTTTTTAATTATAAAAATATCTGTTTATTAAGTGTAAGTATTGAGTTTTACTATAATATTTTGTATTTATTATTGAGCCTTTTACTAATAATATTTTTCAGTTAAAAGAGCAGCTTCGATCTGGGTTGAGCTCTCTGCCTGCCCCAAGGAATGATTATGAGATAGTTGTCCCAGATTCTGAGATAGAAATGGAAGCTCCAGTAGAAGCTGCAAACAGTGTAGAGGACCAAGCGGATGTGGACACCAGATACCTTGCCGAGTTGAAGGCCAAACGTGTGTAAAACACATCTTCTCACAATATTAGTGTGCTATCTTACTTTTAGAGAATTCATATATTAATTTCATGCATTAATATACTATTCCAGATCTCTAGTTAATGTTTCCCAATTTAAGGTTTTCCCCCATTTTTAAGGTTCAAGTTCAGTGTATTAAAATGTTTCACAAAGGACACAAAATGTTACTTAATGGTCATTGTAGCAAATGTTGATATGATTGGGACTGGAATTACTATACAGTAGAACTTGGTTATAATGTCATCAAAGGGACCTAAAAATAGTGTCGTTATAAACGAATGTCGTTGTAACCGAAATGGGCACTTTCACAGTAGCCTTATGTTAGTCACGTAAAAATCTACCAAAAACCGAGTTAAAATGTTGCATTTTTTTTGTGAAATACGTAGTTAAGTACAGACTAACGTAACATTAACGTGGAATTGCCCAAATGTGTAATATCAAAGACCTGTTACAGCGCTTTTCACTGACAATACGAGTACACACAATATTTCATGAATCACTTTAACTTTCTCTTCAATGCTTAAAACTTTCCTTTTCATTGCCATGTTTTCGCTACTGCACTTCTCTGGGTTTAGGCAGGAACACTATAGGGTAAGTAGACAATGTGAGGTCCTGTTAGACAAGATTCTAGGAAAGGAATGCAGTTAACAACCTGCCGCGTCCTCTTGCACTATTCACGCAGTCCCACCCCACACCCTTGTTTTCGCATAAAACCCACGCTCCTCTTGCAGCCCGCGGTCGTATTCTTCCAGGACAGTCACGTCAGCAAGTAGAGAAAGTGAGGGTGGGCAGACACATCGAACTTTCCCACGATATCAGAGAAATTCAGGAATGAAAATGACGTTACATACGAGGTTGATGCATTTGTGCATGTCGTACTAAGCAAGGTATAAAAACAGTTGCTTTATGAGGAATTAGTTCGTACCATTGAATATTTGACGCAATAGACAAGGTGTCGCAGAAACCGATGTTGCTATAACCAAGTTTTACTGTATTTACCTGAGCCTATCATGACCTTGAATCTGTACTGATATACTAAAATACGAGATTTAAACAACTAGGCAAATGCAAGTTATATAGAAACTGTGTTACATAATAGTAGCACTTAAGCACAGATGATTTTCTTTGCGACTATATGCAGACCAGTTCTCTGGCCCCTCAGCCTCCTGTTTCATGAGTACTGGAATCTGTTAGCATGTGTGTAATGTTGCCAGAGCTTGGAGGTGACCACTCACCTTCATATAATGCCAAGATGTAGGTTACGTGGAACTTTACCACTGCTCTTATGTGTCATTGTTATGTGATGCACAGAAACAGTGGAAACTTTACCTTTTTCTGATATCCATTTAATTTGTTATATTTATATTGTGATGCCTTGTGTTAGGCGAACTGGAGATGCAGAGTCGTTCACAGCCAGTTCAGCGGGACTTACCTCGACCAGTGGAAGTCAACACGGCAGTACTGCGTCCACCTCACACAGACCCCCCACTCACAGAACTACAGAAGGTCAGTTGTGTGTGCCCATTTTGTTGCAGGTGCTGTAGTTTGAAGTTATTCAGAATTATCAGGTTTTTGGACTTTCTCCATCATCTGATATTGTAAAACTTAGAGAACACAACGTTTCATAAACTGCAGCAGTTTCTGTCCTCAGGTGAGGGAAGCGGAAGACACCTACTCTGTTTGGTCCCTTAGAAAAAGGCAACGTCAAACACTGGACAAGTCATGTCTCAGTCTGAGTCTTATGTTATGCAATAAAAATTGAGATAAAGCATACATAGACCTGAAACTAAGATAGAAAGGAAGGTGAAAAATGTGCCAACAAACCTTGCCTGTGAAAACCAATGCATAGGATTAAATGGAGAATTTATTAAATCATTTTGTGCCCACCACTAGCAGTATCTGTGAAGTACAAGCTGAACACTTGGAACTAAAACATTATAGAAACCCATGAGAATCTGTCATGTCCTACTCATCTTTTTTGTGAGTTGGTAACCCCATTGCTGCTAAGAGGGATCCAGATCAGAGAAATGTCCAAAGTGGGTTGGCTGATTGGATTGGTTAGGCATGCCATGTGTGTTGATTCCTTGTATTTCCTATGCCTGCTGTTACTTTCAATTTCCAAAATTCTTGCTTCAACCCAGCCTACACTGTGACCCTCTTTATAGTCATCTTGGGCTAATTTTGATCTTTCTAGAAGACCATCTTTGAGATTGTGTCTGTTCACAGAGCCACGCAACTAGAGGTCTGCTTCTTTCACCAATGTAGCTTCTACTACATTCACAGAGAATGCTATAAATATACTGTGTTGTTTGTTGCAGATCTCTTTCTGGCCTGGTTTTCATGAGTGAATTCCAATAGTGTGTTTCGTTTTGAAAATTATCATAATGTTGTATCAATTCCTTATATGTTTGAACATCTACGAAACACACTACATGTGAGATATACACAGCCCAGATGCTTTTCCTCTTTATTTGGACAACTGGTACCCTTGAAATTAATAACTGTAGGTGAAACCTTGGGGATGACCATTTAACTGAAGATCATGTCTCAGGCTACTAATCTCATTCATTCATTTTAAAATTCCATGAATCCTCTCTGGTCACAATGTGCCTAGGATGTAGAACATGTCAGATTACTATATGTACTGTAATAACTAATGCAGGTAAATAGTTATCATTGTCACAATCATGTTGTAAAAACTAAATCGTAATATATATAATTCGATAGCAGTCTAAAATATACAATTCATAAAATTGAAAAATTAGTATACGAAGGGGGACCCAAAAATAACCGGAATCGACCTGTTGCACGCGCATGCTTTGTAGTTACGAGTTGTGCTGCTAGGTGGTGTTAGCTGGGGGTCTCCCGCGACTGTTAGTGAGCTGGCGTCAGTCTGAGTTAAGTGGTTTGTCTGTGGTGCTCTGTTGTGTGCGTTCCTGTTTCAACCCTTTGGCGATTAGTGAGATGACCGACCAGAAGGAACAAAGAGTGTGCGTGAAATTCTGGATCGTTCTGCACTTCACTCTTAAAGTCGCGGCAAACATTCACGTGGTTTTCTCTTTGGTCATCTCCGAGCAAGCGAGGAACAAATTTTGCAGACACCCGTCTCATGTGCAAACCTTTGGTTAAAATTTGCTGGACCGTGCTCCATGAGATGTTCGTTTCCTCAGAAAGTTGGTCAATGGTCTTTCGACGATCAAGCAAAATTTCGCGCACTCTTTGTTCCTTCTGGTCGGCCATCTCACTAATCGCCAAAGGGTTGAAACAGAGCACACAACAGAGCACAACAGACAAACCACTTAACTCAGACTGACGCCAGCTCACTAACAGTCGCGGGAGACCCCCAGCTAACACCACCTAGCAGCACAACTCATAACTACAAAGCATGCGCACGCAACAGGTTGGTTCCGGTTATTTTTGGGTCCCCCCTCGTATGACTGTGTCAAGCGTTGTTCAACCCGTATCCGGTACGGAAATCCAACTATGTCCTTAAACAATCGGCGAACGGATGGATCGCCGACGTTCAGTTTCAAGGCCGTTCGTCGTAGACTTCATCAGGGCGAATGCAGCAGTTGCTGAAGAACACGTGCATCATTCACTTTTGTCGGAACAGTTACTGGTCGAACAGACTTCCACCTCCGTTGACAGTANTTATTGGCTAAGGTCTTTATTGACTGAGGGAGGTGATTGTACACTTTGATGGCTGTTATGTACGTTCCATTATTAAATTTTGCTGTTTCCACAGCAGGAACATGTAAGTCATCATGGGTTCGAGTTACATACAATATATTCGTGAATCTCATTATTGGAATTGAATATATGTTTGTTATTTATTATGAAGAGAAGTAATGAATATATATATATAGTGAATATAATGTCATTGTTTCCAATTGCTTAAAGATATTCCTACAAGAATCCCTGGGTTTAGTGTTCGTTATGGTTATAATGATTTTCTTTTGTCAGACAAACACTTTCTTGGCATGAGAGGAGTTACCCCAGAAAATTATGCCGTAACTCACAGAGTGAACGTAGGCAAAGTAGATTAGCCTTAGTGTTGGAAAGGTTACTATATATTTAATGTTGCGCAGCGCATAACATGTAGAAGTTAGTCTATTGATCATCAGATTTATATGCTGTTGCCAAGATAAAACTTCATCAATAGTTAAACCAAAGAACTTAGTTACTGTTGCACTTGGCATACTTTTCTGTTCATAACTGATGTAGGTCTCTATCCTAGCGTTTCGTGGTTCTAAACTCCATATATTGAGTTTTATTGAAATTTAATTTAAGTAAATTAGCCTTAAACCAGGTGTTTATATCTTTAAAAGTTTGGTTAAAATTTATTTTATAGCTTAATTTATTGGGTTCTGTTATTACGATACTAGTATCATCTGCATATAATACCATGCTATTATCTGTATTTATCGTTTTGGGAAGATCATTTATGTATAGCAAGAAAAGCAGAGGAGCAAGAATCGAGCCGTGTGGTACTCTCATTAAACAGATCTTGTCCTTGGCATATGGTGGAAGTTCTATCGTGTAAACTCTGAGGTAAACCTCTTTTTCACGTGCGGCAGATGGTTAGATTTGAAGCTGAGATGTTGGCCAGGCATGGATGGATTTTTCTGTAAACTTCAGTGACCAGTGCCATCTATTTCCTGATGACAAGAACACCAAGAAAGGAATTACACTCTCTGGCTCTACTTCCATAGCAAACTGGAAGGAAGGCCTTAATCTCTTTAGATGGCTGAGGAAAGTCTGTAACCACCCTTGGGCATGAGGCCAGGCCACAAATATGTCAGCATACCAAGTATTCGGTTTTTACTCCACAGATGACACTAGCAGTATTCACAAAATTGTTTCATAAATTCTTCATTTAATCCTATGTATTGGTTTTTGTGGAATTGGTTTGTTGAAGGAAAAAAATCCACCTTCCTTTCTGTCTTAGTTTCAGGTCTGTGCATACTTTATTAAAATTCTTATTGCATATTTTCATGTTATCTTCCTTTGACAATACCTGGTCTCAGGTATTTATATAGCTCTAGTTATACTGGCATGAGGTGTCCAGTGATTGAAGTTAGCTCTTTCTAAGGGACTTAACATAGTAGGTGTCTTCCTTCTCTCTCACCTGAAGACAGAAACAAATCCAGTTTCTGAAACATCGTATTCTGTGGTTTTTAGAATACCCAGTGATGGCCGAAGTCTAAGAACCCAGTCATTTTGAGTGTTATTCCCCATCGTTAGAACCCTTTAGAATCTACTTTTAAATTATTATATATTATTCCATTGCAGTCGCTTACCGTTAAGTCTTTAATACTCTTAGAAGTATCATAGAAGGCTGGATTGGGCAAAGACAGGTGCATGTGAAAATAATCAATTTGTTAACAGAAGATACTTTTTCCTTCTCTCTTCCTCTCCTTTTATATATATATATATATGATTCTGAATGGATGACTGGGTGGGCCAGCAGGCAGACAAGCACACAGTGGTATGAATGTACAAATTTATGTATGTATGCAAGATTAAGGTCAGAGTGGGAATGTTTATGGTTTCAGTCAGTAGATGGATCTGGGAATTGTTGTAATATGTGTACAGTTAATACAAACAGAAATTAAATATGGATCTGGAAATTTCATATAGTAATATATGCAGCAAGGTTTCTGTATGATACTTTCAGGCTGAGGAATTTATCAAAAGAGAAATGATTACAATGCTGCATTATGACGCAGTCTATTCACCACCTGTCATACCAGTTGAAACCAAGAAGCGTGGTCAAGTGACAAGCCAAGCACAGCATTTAGTGTACCTTGAGCAGCATCCCTATGAGACCTACAGCCAGGATCAACTAGCCCAGGTATGCAGTTTCTTTCTACAAACAAAACAGCATTGAGCTGAGTAGATACAACACAATTATAGTGAACATTGTTCATTTTATACTTGATGAATATCGTGTTTTAGGATTTGGATTTTCTATCATACTTAGATAGTCCATTATAGCCATGTTGCACCTATATACGGTGGAACCCTCATTAAATGTTCCTCAGTTTAAGGTTCTCCATCATTTAATGTTCAATTTCAGTGAGCTGAAGTCAGTAATTTCAGCACTTAACCCTTTGACTGGCGCGAAGGGTATTTAAATCCCACCCCTGTCCTGGCAGGCCCTTTAAACCTTATGTCGCTAAAATGCATGTAGTTACTTTTT